CCAGTCAGCCTGCAAGAGTTAGATCATGGGTACACCCACAGCCTACTTCCGTCAGAATAGTGGGTGCACGTCAAGCCAGCTAGAAGCTGTGATGATCCTACGTGTCCAATCCCTGCTCTAAATCACGCAAATCACTCTGGAAGGTGGGCAATGTGACATAAAGAAGGATTTGCACGGATAATCCCACCAACTTACAGATTCAGTGATCATTACCTCAATGCATCCCACTATAAATTGAGAGTTCCTCTCTCATTAAAGGGATTTGCTCATTATTATTCTTGATTAGCTATTCTCTCTCAAAGATATACAGCTTTCTCTCTCTTGTATTATCATTTTGTAAATCATTTGTAAGTCAGTCCGCTAACGCGACCTGACCCTTATCATTAATACAAACATCAGTGGACGTAGGACTTGCTACCTTAGCATTCGAACCACTTTAAAAACTGTTCCCATTGCGTTTACTGTCATTTTCCATTCCATTCACGTGTGTCTTTTGGGTCAGCTCCACATTTCACACGTGTGTTTCGTTGGTGTAAAAATCAAGCATCAACAAGATAATTGTTATTTGACATTAATACGAGAGCATTTGTGTCCAAAATTTTTATTAAGGGTAAAATTAGTGCAATAATAGGATTACCATGATAATCTTCAAATATCACCCTCCTCTAAGTTGATAATCACATAACCCCTTAGGTGCATTTGGATCGAGGGTAATTTTCGTTTATTTTACAAGATTCTAGTATTTGATTTGCAAGTAATAAAATATTACAAGTATCTTTTATTGCAAATAGTGTTTATTATTGGTAATATATAGGGTAATCATATACCCTCCCCTAGGGCTATTATTAAAAAATTATTAGGTAATCTGATTTTTATACCTATTTTACCCTTAATTAAATACTATTTCGGACACAATCGCCCTCAAATGTTTACCAAATAATCATTACTCAACCCTTCTACATTTAAGAATTTGGCTAAAACACCCTAGCTACAAAAAAGTTTAAAAATTAACAAAATACCCCCAACCATCCAAAATCACCGACTGTTGTTACTCACCACCATTGGCAGTCAGCGTCTATCACTGTAATGGCGCATGACCGACGAGATTTGGCGTCTATTGTCGGTAAGACCTTTTGTGATCCATGGCCGAAAATAGCCACATCTTTGACCATGAAATAGCATGGATTTATAATCTATGGCCGGAAATGGCTTTGTTGTTGCACGGCCAACCATATACGACTAGTCGTGGGCCACCCCGTCGACTGCTGCGGTGGTGGTTGCCTGCCGGCAATGGCTTGGGGTGGGTGAGGGTGATTATATGGCTAGGATGTTTTAGCAAAATTTCAAATATAAGGGATTAAAAGAAATTGTTCAAGAAATAATAATAATAATAATAATAAAAAATATTATATTAATTTTAAAAGGTATGACAATTTGGTAATCTAAATAATATATCTACCCATTTATCCTCCTAACTAAACTTATTATTTACCGATTTATTCGAACCAACTAAATATATTTCTTAAATATTTTCAGTAATCTTTAAAGTGATTTATCTTTCCATTAATATAACATCCCTTATAATAAAACATTATATGATTTAAAGGTACCTTTTATATCATTTCTTATATTACCTGAATAATAAAAAAACTATTGAAATCTTTTATTACAGCTATCAAAAAAATAGATTATTGTATTAGTCTTAAGGGCTCCAACCCAACAAAGCCTAAATGTAATGATCACTTCCCGAAACCTGTAAATGTAACTCCAATTGACTTAAAGCTTATTGTTTGAAAATATTATTACCTTTGACAAACGAATAATTACATTTTACTTTTTGTTTTTTAAGGCATGGGAGCATGCAATTATTATATAACTATTAATAATTTCTAAAAATAAATATGTTTCCAAGTATGGCCACAACACAAACCTCCCTTCAATATTATTGAGATCAGATCTCATTCAATAAAAATAAAGTAAAAAAAATGAAAAAGCAAGAAAATCACCGACAAATATTTGTATCAAAGATCACATGAATGAGACACTAAATACAAAAAAACCTTCAAGTTTTCGGGGGAGAAGAATCTTAATATGTTACATGATTTTCTTTTATTTATTTGTGAAATTTGAGTTAGAAAAACATGACCCTTTTGCCCTTGTCGATTGATAGATTTTTTATTGTTGAGGTTGAGGAGACCATTTTGACCCATACCTTTCATATCACTTTCTTTCTTACACCTGATTTTTTTTTTTTTTTTTAATGGCGGGACGACTCTATACCTAATTTTTTTTTTCAATTTGAAAAAATTCATGTGTATTATTGGATATGACCTATTTAAAACATCTTTCGTTGGTGTATCATGTATGTGTATCCAGTGTCTTCTTTCTAACATTTGGAACGTTTGATTCAGGAAATGTTGGATTACTAGAAAATTAGATTACTTTGAAAATTACTGAGAATCTTTAGGAAAATGTGTTTGGTTAATTGGTAGGTTTGTTATATTAATATGTTTGGTTTGGAGGAATAAATTGGTAGGTATGTTATTTAAATTACTGAATTGTCCTCTAATTAAATATTATTATTATTATATTTTTTAATATTGATTATATAACCCCCTTGTATTTAAAAACTTAGCAAAAACAACCCCATAATAAAAGTTTAGAAAATCAATAAAGCACCCCTACCAACCTAGCCATTGTTGGCCACCGGCAACCACCGCAGGCCGCCGACAACCTAACGACACACGGAAGGCAGAAATGGCCTTCGTGGCAGATGTATAGCCATTTCCAACCAAAGATCTGTCCGCTAGACGTGGCAAATCTGGCCGTCGACGGCCAGATCTAGCACGATCTGGCCAAAAATGGCCATATAGGCGAACAGCGGTGACTGGCCGTGGCGGTGGTTGCCGACGGCAGGTGGGTGGGGGTAGTGGCTTGGGTGGGCTGTAATTTGTTTTGAATTCAAGGATAATTTTGTCCAAAAAGTTAATTAATTGGGATGAAATAGTAAAAGCTATATTCATATAAATAAATTCAAAAACAAGGGCATTATTGTTCTAAAATTTTATTAATAAGGGATAGAATTGTAAAAAAAAAAAAAAATTATCTTGGTAATCTTAAAATACCTAAGAAAATTGAAGTAATCAGATTACCTCTAATATTATCAACAGTAACTACTATTGGTATTTGAAGATTACCGGAATCTTATATTACTTGACAATCAAATGTAATAATCAAGTAATATAAGATGACATAACTCTAGTAATCCCACATTGCCTGCAAACAAACGCGCCCTCGTAGTTATTTTAAAAAAAAAAAAATTATGTTATCTAATTATAATTCAGAAAAAAGTTATAAGAATGGTCTGCCGCAATTATTTTAAGATTGGAAAAGGCCTCCAACGTTTATAATGAGGTTAGAAATTGTCTCCCGTACCATAATTGTCAGGATCAAACACTTATCATCGTATTAAAAGCTATAAGGCCTATTCGGTACATTATTTGAAATATGATATTCTGAATAGGATATGATAAGATTATGAAAATATGTTTGATACAATTTTTTAAAACATTTAGATTATTTTTTAACCTTTTACATTTGTGAAAGGTAATTGTATGTTTTAAGTTGAATAGAATAAGATTATATTTTGAATAGAATTCCGTGAATAGAGAAATAAACACGATATTTTACTCTTTGCAATAGGATAATAGAATAGTGTTATGCTTGGGAGAATAGGGCTGACGTGGCGCCCAGCTAAGTGCGAAAGTTCAGACCTCGGGAAGAGTCTACTGCCATTCTGACACAGCTACGTCGTGTGATCATGGTTGCACCCACAGCTTGCTTCTGTCAAAATAATGGGTGCACGTCAGGCCAGCCAGGAGTTATGGTGAACCCGCGTGTCCAATCCCTGCAGCAAATCACGTGAATTACTCTAAAAGAAGGATTTGCCTGGATCATCCCACCAACTCACAGATTCAGTGATCATTACCTCAAGACATCCCACTATAAAATGGGAGCTCCTCTCTCATTAAAGGGATTCGCGCATTTTTACTCTTGAAAATTATTTCTCTTTCTCTAGAATAGACAGCCTTTGATACCTTGTATCATCAGTGTAATATCAGTTGTCTAAAGCGACCTGACCCTTTTCTTTAATAAAAACATCAGTGGACGTAGGATTTGCTTCCTTAACATCCGAACCACTTTAAAACTCCTTCCTCACTGCATTTATTGTCATTTTCCTTTCCATTTACGTGTATCTTTTAGGCAAACTCAACATTTCATACGTGTGATTCGTTGGTGTTAAAATCACGCATCAACAAATAGCAATTTGAAAAGTGTACAAAATATAGAGATAGTTATCAATAAAAGCGCAATCCTTATTTTGGTCTCCAGACCAGTTGCCACGGCAAAATGCTAGCTCATCTAGCCAACAGTCTCACTTCAACACTTGACTGCAATCAGTATACTCTCAAAGGGATTCAAGCCCATGATCAACTATAGTTATTAATAGAAGCACAGCCATATTTTCTTAAACCAACAACTTTATGTGACGGTTCAAGGAGACTCGATCACTTAGCCTCTACCATGGCAAAATGTCGCCCATCTAGCCTACGTTAACACAAATTTATTAATCGATTTTCACATAATAAAACTAGGATCCGATCTCTACAACTAAAGCCTAAAGGGGCATTTATTTAAATGGAGAAACTTTTTAGGGGTTTACCGTATTACACTGTACTAAGTTTTAACACTATTAAGAAGAAATAAACTAATATTTTTGAAACAATGGTATATAATTACATTCACCAAACTTCAGGGGGTAATGAAAATTACCTTATTATTATTATTAACAGTGGACCATGCAATCATGCATTTACAAAAGAGTCAAACTCGTAAACATAAAGGACAAGAAAGTAATTTCTCTAACCCATAAATCAAAAGGCCTAATTTGCGCGGCTTTTCCTGTGCTAGTGTGCAGTATAGAAGGCAGTGACCAGTGAGACTGAGTGCTCCGTTCTGACAATATTCTCTGTACGATGCTCACTGTTTTTGTTGGGCTTCGTGTTCACAGATTTCTATTTTCCATGTAACACCAAATCTGTAAACCATATTTATTTAACAATCTCACAGATTTCCCTCTTTAACTCCTCCATTTTTAACCCACACTTTTCTCAAAATTGGTAATCAATTCTTTTTTAATATTCTTCCTCTAAATCCAACAATTGATTGTTTTCCCTTTGTAACGTTTTCATTGTTCCCAATAGTTGACTGTTGCACAGTAATCCACCCACCCACATTACTCATTCACTTACTCCTCTTTCTGGGTTTTTTTAGGGCTTTTGTGTTCTTGTTGAGTCTGTTGATCTTCTTGGTTTTCTTGGGTTTTTGTTTGATTTTTGGGGGATTTCTGCTTCCGGGTTGGGGTTAAATCGTTGAAAGAGGCTTTTTTGAGGCGGTTTTTTGGTGGTTTGGTATAATGTTGATCAAAATGTTGCCTTTTTAGTTGTGTAATGTTGTGAAAATTTGTGATTCTTTTGAGAGTTTTGTGGGTTCTTGATCTTCTTGTGAGTTTTCATTGAGCTTTTGTGGTGAAATAAAGTTAGTTAGTTTGGAGTTTGTGAAGCTGATTAAAGCTTTACAGTGTAAAGTTTTTCAACTTTGTGGTCTTCTGTTGTGATCTTCAAGGAATGGCTTATTAGATACTAGCTTAAGGAACTTTGAAAGATTTATATACTGGTTTCTGCTGGGACCTTTTTTGCTTGAAGATTTTAATTAATTTGTTCTATTGAGCTTGGAATAAGAATAATGTGCTTTGATTACAAAGTTGCTTTCTTTTTTTGATGGGAGATTCTGGGTTTTAGAAAGTATGATATAGAAGAAAGAATTTAGATCTAGTATTCTGAGGTAAAAGTTCATTTGTATGAGAAAAATCAGTTGTTGAACATGGATTTTTTTAAAGTTAAAAAGTTTAGGAAAACTCACAAACCAGACCCAGAAAAGGATTTGGAAGATAAGCCAGTTCCACAGCCTGAGGAACCCAAAAATGAGAATGTGAGTGGTGATGATTTGAATAAATCACCTAACACTGACTCTAGTAATGAGTATGAGGATGATGATGATGATTTTATAACAAATGAGGTGAAGAGAAGGCTGAAAGAACTTAGGAGGAACAGTTTCATGGTACTGATTCCGGAAGAGGAGCCGTGTGCTGAAGAGGAGGATGAGGAAGAGGAGGGCGGCGAGACGAGTTCTTGTGAGTGGAGAGATGTAGAGGCAGAAGGTAGACAATGGTGGGGTGGATTTGATGCTGTTTATGATAAGTATTGCGAGCGAATGCTGTTCTTTGATCGGATGAGTGCGCAGCAGCTCAATCTAGCTGGTAAATATTGGCTTTTTTTTTTTTTTTTTTTTTTAATCTTGATTTAGTGAATAATAACTTTGATATTATTTATGATTGGTATACGTGATGAGGAAAGAGTGCTGCATTTCGATTGGCATTTGTATAATTTTTGTTTATTTGTCTTTTAAACTATATAAATGATGGAGTTTCTTGATTGATTGTCCTGATTCAATATGCATTTTGCTTGTCTTACTTTAATTTGGAAGGATTTTGTGTTCTGAGAAATTTCTATATCAGCTAAGAGATGAACTCAGAAAGTAATGGCACGATAGATCATATGTTGTTGAACACAGTCCACTTTGGAGTTGATTCATGCCCGAGCCTTGAAGCCTTATCATGTTACCATCTTGTTAAAGAGGCAGATTTGTAAATGGATCCGTTAAGGGCTGACTTGTTGGGGGCATTGCTTTATTGTACCGCTTTTAGTGTTCAACTTGGACAATTTGGTAGCTCATTACTTGACTTTTTGTAGGAAAATTATCGTGTTCATTTTAAGCTTAAGTTGTTTTTAAGAAGGGTAGAATGCTATTAATTGTCTTAGCAGCTTTTCTTTACTTGATACAAAATTCGGAAACAAGTTCATATGAAATCTATTCTAGGTTCTTATTGTCCCAATGGCTGGCAATCAGTAACCCGCATTACTACTCATTGCCTTTCTGATGCTTGTTATTTCCTAAGATAAGAACACAACATGGCAGATAAGAAAGTAGTCTATAAAATTATTAAAGCTTATATTTTACCTCTTTCTTAATTTTAATCCCAAGGGAAAACCTAGCTAAGACATTATGTACCCTGGGTTTCCTGAACTCCGCCAATTTTCTTCAGCTTTGTGACGCCTGGTGTCACTTTTTCTTGTTCTGCTCTTTCTTTTATTGTAACCAAATTTATGACTTATCTTTTATTCCTGCCTCCTATCTGGTCTATTTACAGTAAGAGGTTTTATTTTGCTGTAGGGCCTCAAATTCCTTCAACTCCATCTCCAAAATCCACATCAAAAAAGCTTGCATCTCCGTTTCGATGCCTTTCTATGAAAAAGATTGAAGAACCTGAAGAAGAAACTGAGCACCTGCAACAGCCAGCTCGTAACGCTTATCAAGATCTTGAAACTGCATATGTAGCTCAAATGTGCTTAACTTGGGAGGCCCTTCACTGCCAATACACTCAACTGTGTCAAAAGATCTCATGCCAACCCGAAAATCCCACATGTTACAACCAAAGTGCTCAGCATATTCAACAGTTCCAGGTTTTATTACAAAGGTTTATAGAAAATGAGCCTTTTGAACGAGGTCTTAGGCCTGAAATTTATGCTCGTACCAGGAATGTTTTCCCAAAACTGCTTCAAGTTCCAAATATAAAAGGTAAATTTCTTCGAATCCACAGTATTGATTGGAGAATTTTATTTGACTCAATATTGCTTGTTGTTTTAGGTTCAGCTCAAAAAGAGAAAGAGACTGAGGAAGAAGAATCCAATTTTGTGGTCCTTGCTTCGGATCTTACCAAGATTATTGAGAGTTCGATCATGACTCTGTACCTTTTCCTAAAGATGGACAGGACAAAGTCAGGTGGTGTCCTTTACCTGTTTGGAAATCAGAGCCAGATTGCAACCCCTCTTCATCAAGTTCAATCTTCTCTTGAAAAGGTAAGGTTTTGCCACGCTCTTCATTCTTATAAAAAATAGCATAAATTATATGCATTTTTATCTGCCTTGATTTATCAAGAGATCTTCTCGGGCCCTCAAAGTAGGATATTCTAGCTTTTTCACTGAAACAATTTGGAGTTTTATATGATCCATATCATTGGTTTCATTACCTGTCATGCTATTTGTCTGAGAATTGACAGCTCAAGTTGTTTGCATGCCCTTCATGACATTCCCCTTGTGGTTTGTGGTGTATTAATGGATTTCAGACAACTAGTTATCTATTATTGTACTTGATGGAACGTATCAATTATCTATACTGTATCGAAAATGAATTCTAACCAAATAAAATTATTAAAAACATCTAGAATATTGCTAGGAGTTTTCATGGCATTTTATTAGGCATAATATCTTTTTAGAACTTGTTTCCTCCTAGAGAGGCTTAGGACCTTTATTGAGGCAACTCCCAGACTGCTGTCACAGCCCATTCAATACATGGATGCTATCAGATATTTTTTTTAGTAAAGGCTTCAAATGATTTATTGCATCTTCTTTTTTGTGTATGTCTATGTACCTAAATATTGGAAACCTTGAATCTTGTAATGTCAAAATCAATTGCTACACTCATGTTATCTGAAGAAACTGTGTTCAGAAATCTTTACGAGCTTCTGACAACTGATCCTCCATGTCGCAGAAAAAGATGAAGCTGAAGGAACTGCATAAAAAGAGTAAGGGCTTTAAAAAGAAGTCCTGGCCTCAAACATGGGAAGATATTCAGCTGCTGTTTGGCCTCATCGACATCAAAATCATGTCAAGGGTTCTTAGAATGGTGAGGATCACCCAAGAGCAGTTGTTTTGGTGTGAAGAAAAGATGAAAAGGTTAGATTTATCTGACGGAAAGTTGAAAAGAGATCCCTCTCCTATCCTTTTTCCTTGTTGATAGTCGTGGGGAAGATTGAACAAGCAAATTTATCTAATGGTCAGCTGCCAAAGAGATCCTCCCCTAGTTCTTTTCAATTTTGGGTGCTATTCAGGACCTTTCTTTGAGGATGATAGAAATACCAATCTTCCATATATTGTCAATTCAAGGTTTCATGATACTAGCTTTATGTTAAGGAGTGTTGTACAGGCAATAGGGCGATGTATTGCGGAAGTCTTTGGTGTCGAAGTCTGCGATAGATGGCAATTTGATTGCATATGGTTAAAATTATTTGTTGATCTGCACCAGTGGCATAAAGGAAGAAGTAATTCTGCTATCTTTCGGAAAAAGGGTTTCTTATGGGCATTAGTAGGAGAAAGGACAGGTGAAAAGGGCAGCCTATAATTTGATAAATGTAAGCTTCTTTAATGAAAAACTGTATGAAGTTGTAGGAGGGTGTTATTCTCTTTGCAACCATTTTGTTGTTGCAGAGATACGTTGTTCATGCGTTGTGAAAAAGTGATTTCTAAATTTGTCGTCTCATTCTGTGCAAAATGAAGGTGCCCACTGCCCAATATGTCTATAAAGTAGGATTTGATTAAAGGTGAAGTATCCTTGAAGGATTGAAGGAGAAGACGAATTAAACTAATCAATAATTAGAGGATAAACTAAACTATTAACAAGGTTAAGCATGTGGAATAATACTGGGTGTTCAATGGATTTTGAGGATTAATTAAGGTGAGTGTAAATTAATTTGACATCGGAGTACCCAAAAAAATATGGCCAATTAGGGTGCGTTTGTTTTAGTATTTTGAATAGTATTTTTGAAAAAGTAAGAGTTTCGTGGTAATAATTAGTAGGATTTGAAAATTAAAAAAAAAAAAAAAACTCTTTAGGTTTGTTAATTTATAACAAAAACATTAAAAATTATAAAAACACTCTCATCCATCCATTAAATACCGATTGCTTGTCACCATCGCTAGATGGTTACCGGAGTCGTCGTATCGGCCCACGACTGGTTGGATCTAGTTGGTCGTGCGTCGAGATGACCTTTTCTAACCAGATCCACTGTAGATTTGATCGAAAAAGGTCAGAATTACTACTAGATATGACCATTAACAGCCAGATCTGACCGTGTTTGGTCGTCAACAACAGCTATATCTTTGCCGTCGTTAACGACTAGTTACGGTCATATCTTTGGCTATAGATCTGACATTTTTCGACCAAATCTATGGTGGATCTAGTAAAAAAAGGTTATATATGTGTATTACTGGCCATATCCAGCCAATAGTGTACCATTATACTAAATTCTGGCCACCTTTTGGTAGTGGTGGTCAGAATCTGACAAATATAGGTGGGGGTGTTTTTATCAATTTCTAAACTTTTTTTTGGAGGTGTTTTGTTAAATTAACAAAACATAAAGGATTTAAATAATTGAATAAAATATAATAACATTTTCAAAATAAAAAAATAAATGTGTATTTTGGAAATGATAAGAATATGATAATACAAAAATATGAAACAAGAGCACCCAAACTCGTGTAGTGCAACAAACACAATTACTTAAAAGACCTTTTTGTTTTTGACAAGATATATTATGATTTTTTTTAATTGATTTAGTCTGTAAAACCTTTCATGTATTTTTATTCCATTTTTACCCCTCCACAACTCTCACGTATTCACTCTAGTAACTCTATGATTAAAATGACTCTAGCGTTAAGAGTCATTAATTTTTTATGTAATTATTCTCCAAAGAAATTGCAGTTATAAAATATAGTAATAAGGTTGTCATTTCCTAATGATTCTACAAGATAGAGCTAGATTTGATAATAGGGTTTTATATTTCAGGAATTTATTGTGTAATTCCTTGGAAAGACAATGGTTCAACAGTTGTCTCAGAAGACAATATAAATTGGTATAATCCCTTGGAAAGACGATGGTCCAACGCTTGTCTCAAAAAGACAAAATAAATTGGACGGCACAAATTTAACAGCAGCCACTTGGAAGCTCCCGACACCTGGGGACTGGGGCTTCGTCATTTTCTTTAGAGTAAAATACTAAGTTATGTCTTAAAAGGTATTTTTTTTAAATATTATTTTATTATTTAAATTTATATTTTATTTTTAATTTTGTATCATTACGATCTTATATTATCATTATTTTTTCTCTAATTATCACTCAGTAAAACCTCTTAAACTCTATTTCTGTTGATCTTATTAATCGTCGGTAATCAAACGATTAGAATTTGTGCTACTGCCTCTCCCAAATCAAATCCCAACCACTAAAATGCAACTTTTCATCACTAAAAGACTCATCCACATTCTCTCTTTAAAAGCTCTAACAGTCTTGACTGAGTTTATTCTTTTTTTACTATTAGAATATAAATTTAGATAGTAAAATTGTATTTTAAAAATCAGTGGGTGGGAAAGTGTCATTAAGCCATTATTAGTGTGGGAAAAAGTTGTTAACTCTTTTCTTTTCTTCTTTTTAATTTTTGTCTAGCAATTGGCACTATCAATCCTCTTCCCTTTTCTATTTTATCAATCTTATTCACTAATTAAATTATACACAACTTTTTTATGTGGCTACCCTTCTAACTTTAGGGTTTTTATATGAGTAAACGACATTTTCCCACCTAAGGTTTGCCTCGATGACGCTTTCTCTTACAAAGAGTTTTAAAATATCACTTTCCCATCGAAAGATTATATTTCGTTATTACCCAAAGCTGATTCTGATAGCAAAAATTTTCTCTGTCACTACTATTTAAACTTCTGGTCTTCTCTTTACAAAAGTTCTCTCACTCTGGCACTTGATTTCTTGTCAATTGTCGACTACCACAAAACTAGAGTTTCTTGTTCTTAGCTTATTTTTGGCTGATTCTTAGAGCAAATATTCAATCGGTCACCACCATTCGATTTAGTGGCCTCCACTCTAGAAAACCTCTCTTACCTTGGTTTTTGGTAACTCGCCGAGCACTGACTTAGAAAGTAAAGTGTATTTTGAGTATTAACAGAATATAAACTTTGGGTAAGAAAGTGGTATTTTGAAGCTTTTTCGGTGGGAGAGTGTCAATAAGGCAAACCTTGGGTGAGAAAAAGTCGTTTACTCTTTTTATATTGAAATAAACAACCAAAGTCAATTCGTATCTCGACTAATCCTTGAGAAAGACTAGTGCTGCAATTCACCGCTACAACTCCCCACTTAAATCATGGATGCTCACATGGGGAATCGAATATGAGACCATGCACTTATCCACACTACCTTCAATTAACCCTAACCATCTAGGCTACCCATAGATGGAAATAACATTAACCCATTACACTATAGATTCGAGTGATACACTAAAAGCTCACTAACAGCATGAGGATTTATGTTATAAAAATTTAAAAATATATATAAAACATGACAGATTCTAAATGAATGATTTCGTTAAATCTATGAATTTGGTAAAGTCCTTCGTTTAGTTTAAAAAAAAAAAAATTTGAAATCTGGATTTTGAAAAATCTACCACCCTCCAAAATCTTTCATTTTTAATGGTTTTGGTAGGTGGGATTTTGCCAAATCCTTCAGTTTTAATAAAATAGAAGATTTTGTTAATATTTTAATTTTTCAATACTATCATTGTTAATAATCTAATATCACAATAATTACCCTTTACCCTAATTAAAAAATATATATTTGTCGTTCTCTCTTTTTGAGCTTTTTAGCTTTACATTATTAGCATCTTCAGAGCATACTAGATAAATAATCTACCTTGTGAGTTTCTCTTCCATTAATTAATTATTTTCAATTTTTTATTTGCAAAATCCTTTTTAATTATTTCAATTTCCTATAGTGATGCTTTTTATTATTTGGTTAACTTATTGATAGTGACTTTTTATTTTTCATGAAATATAAAATTAAGGACATCATTGCAAAGGGCAATCCATAGCATCGTGTGTTTTTTTTTTTTTTTTTTTTAATCAATGCAATAAAGTTAGTGTCTATTTTTTGTTGATAAAGGGGTATTCCCATGGTGTTTGCCTTGGTATTGTGCTCATGTCATCGTATTGAATGATTCCTATAGTTTGCTTTCTGTCCATATAATGCATACAACTCTGGGTTCAATGGCTCTACATGAATTAGCAGTTTTTGATCCCTCCGACCCCATTCTTGATCCAATGTGGAGACAAGGTATGTTCATTATACCCTTCATGACTCGTTGAGGAATAACCAATTCATGGGGCGGTTGGAGTATTACAGGAGGGACGATAACGAATCCGGGTATTTGGAGTTACGAAGGTGTAGTTGGGGCACATATTATGTTTTCTGGCTTGTACTTCTTGGCAGCTATTTGGCATTGGGTGTATTGGGATCTAAAAATATTTGGTGATCAACGTACAGAAAACCTTCTTTGGATTTGCCTAAGATCTTTGAAATTCATCTATTTCTCTCCTCAAATGTTATTATACTTTTGTTTTGTTTTTTTTTTTTTTTTACCAATCCCAAAAAATTATTGATTATAATTGGACTTCTCTATTAAATATAATTTAACCTGTATTTGATTACATGAAAGTTGAATTTTTGTTGGTTTTGGATATTAAGGGTAAAGTTGGAAATTATTTGTCAAATCCACAAATTGTATTCATTTAACCAAACATGAGTATATGAAAATTTGATTGATTTAGTCTGTAAAACCTTTCATCTATTTTTATTCCATTTTTACCCCTTCACAACTCTCATGTATTCACTCTAGTAACTCTATGGTTAAAATGACTCTAGCGTTAGTAATTAATTTTTTATGTAATTATTCTCCAAATTAGTGTTAGAAATTAAATATCAAAATTTCTTTTAGTTAACAAATGAATTAACTAATCATATTTTACTAACAAAATTAAGGAATATATTTTTCCTTTTAAAAAAGAATAATAAATATACATAAGAGTTATTTTAATTTTTCAAAAATAAGAAATGAAAAAGAATTAAATTTTTTTTTACTCTATTGTTAGAGTCTAACAACTCGAGCACAAAAGTGGCTTTCCCTAGCCGCTCTTGTGAAGAGGACAAAAGTAAAAAGAAATTGAAAGAGGTCTGATTTCAATTTGACTCTTAAAAAAAGCTTTTTCAAGTAATTATTTCTTTAAAAATAAATAACTAAGGATCTTGAACTAGTAAAATTTTCAATCTTGGTTTAAAAGACATTCAAATCAGTGAATTATTTATTTTAATATAGGTGAGGATCAAGATGAATCTCACAGGATTTGATATAAAATTGTATCTCAAAGGAATTGCAGTTATAAAATATAGTAATAAGGTTGTCATTTCCTAATGATTCTACAAGATAGAGCTAGATTTGATAATAGAGTTTTATATTTCAGGAATTTATTGTGTAATTCCTTGGAAAGACAATGGTCCGACACTTTTCTCAAAAGACAATACAAATTGGGAGGCACAAATTTAACAGCGGCCACTTCGGAGCTCCCGACACCTGCGGACTCGGGCTTCAGTCATTTACTTAGTAAAAGATCATAAATATTGATTTGAAGGTTTTTTTT